CCACAGATGGATAAATAGATTAAGAATCTGCAAATATTTGTGTTGTGCATGGATGCTGTAACATTCATATAAGATTTGATTGATTGATTGATTGATTAATTGAGTAATTAAGTAATATATGAATGTAAAGTGTTGGACTTAAGCTTCTTGCACGAGAAAGATGCTTTGTTATTTTTGCATTTGTTATCCAGAATATCCCTGAGCTTTGTTAATTTTTTTCATGGAAGTTGTGTGAAAGTGTGATCCTTACATGAGATTTTGATGTGGTGTTTTTTTAGGTGCTAAGTGAATCCTGGGGGGAACTATTTGGTGCATAAACAATGCATGGTCATAAAATGTATGCAAGCTAAACTGTAAATGTATTTTATGCACTTTATGCAGATTGATGCGCCAAGACAGTTTTTCAGGAAAGTGTTCAATTTTTTCTATTTAAAACAAAAGGTTAGTTCAAGTTATAATGATCTCATCTACACATGGATGAAAGCTTGCAAGGATGTCACTGATGGTCTGAAAGCCATAGCATGTGTATCTTAAATTCAGCCAGCATGGGAAAATTGACTGTTTTGCATGAGTCCTATGGCTGCAACTTTGTCCTGAAAAGATGATGTCATCCTCCACTTCACACCTCGGTTTTATAGACCATGCTGTCTCTTTGTTCTCCCTATCCCTGCATCTCATTTTCTGACAGCCTGTTTCGCAATGCCAACACATCGGCCACACAAACAGGCGATGAGGAATTAGACAGATAGCAAAATCAATTTGGAGCATATTTGCTCCCAGTGGAAAGTGTTGGGAATAGGACTATGAAAGCTAAATAATGTGAGATCAGCAACAATAGTTTGCTAATGAAATAGGTGTAGGAAGAATGAGGTCATGAATCCTCTTTTTCACCCCCCAAGTATAAGGAAGGATTTCATCAGACACAGTGGATGTGCTCACATACATGCTTGGGCAGAAAACTTTTCTTTGGTCCTTACATTACACGTCAGTTGTTGCTATGGTGACGCAAGCCTGTGATCAAGCCAGGGTAAGGGATTGGCTGAAGAGGAGAGAGGGAAAAGAAGGCGAGCTGACTCTGGTGGAAGGGCACAATAGGGTACGGGGAGGAGACCAGGCACATAGATGATTTAATGGATGTATAACAATCTATACAAATGTTATTTAACAGCCTGTAGGTCAGTGAGACCAAATGCCAGCAGTGAACCTTTCCCAAAACTCTCCATGTTGTCTGTCACATATGGTAAGCTGATGCAAGACTGCCTGTGTAACGTGAAAATAAAAGCTCCCTGTTCCGCTTTACACAGTACTGTGAAAGAAATAAAGAAATACAGTGCATACATGCGGCCCACTTGCTAAAAATAGCTCCCAACATATTTGCATACTTTTGACCTTTCAGTCGTTTTGAGTAAAGAATTTAAGATTCATTACCTTCACATCACATGGTGCAAGAGTTTCTCTAGGGCTAAATTAATGGGGCTGTTCACGCAATGGTGGCATGTGGCTGTGCTTTTGGTGAGTCACTTGCAGGGAAAGCATGCATTATGCCTTTGGCTTTGTATTTGCATTGACAAGCAGAGGTTGCAGGCTCAGTGTCTGCCAGGGCTGTTGTAGGCAGTCCCAGATTAATCCTAATCCCTGTCCAAACTTTGGTCAGTGTTGGATTTATACCGACACCAAACATAGACACATTCCTAAAGAAGATGAAGATTCTCTGACGGCTTGATCTTTCACTTGTGGCATTATCCATGTTCAGGAAACCACCTCTGTGTGCTAAATACATGTCTTGGGTTCAGAGTGGTTGTGTGCATGTGCATATCGACAGGAAATGGTTAGCCCATGTGGTGAAGGGTAGGCCATCCGTGCAACTTGTTTTTGTTTGCGTGTATTTATGTGACCATCCATGTCCATGCAGTCATGGTGACAGCCCTTTGTGACCATTTTCTTTGTGTGGCCAGAGAGCTCAGTCTCTCAGTAGTATTTTGGGAATGAGTGACTTAAGGAAATCAGGACAAACTCTAAATTTGTCACTGCAGCATAACCCACATAATGAAAGAATACAAGCCCCTTGCATACTCTCCGATGCTCAGACTTGCTCTGACTGCTCTGCGTGTGCAGATCATCCTTTTTAAACACACAGGCACACACTCATGTTGACAAGTGTTAACTCAGTAATAAGGAAATCACAAGGTGATGAGCACATGCTTATATGAGTCAGTGTTTTCAGTTATCAGCCTTTGCAGGGGTGTTTTCTCTGCAGATTGTGCAGCCTCCGCTCATTCAGTTTGAATCATATTTTGAAGGTTTACGGAAGCATTTGAGGGAATACCTCCAGATACCATATTAGAAGTGCTGGAGGAAAAGATTTGTTAGCCCACGAACAGCCTTTGATGTTGCCAGGTTGTTTGTTCCTATCTTACTATGTATAAACTATAGAGATCTTGGAAAAGGCCTTTGGTTAAAGTGTTGACAGATACATTATATACAAATTTGAATATTTATGTAGTCCATCCATCCACTGCGTAAAACATTGTTTTTTTAAATGCAACTCATAACACTGATGGTGCATCCAAAATCAGATTGTAAAAATGTATTTAAAAAATAATTTATTAATATTCATGCCAAACATTAGGAATAATGTTTAATTCATTTAATCATTTGAAAAATAACTTTTTATGTCCAAAGGCTCTTGCATTCATTTTCATCCGACTTTGCCATATTGGATCATTATTCGATAATTAACTGGGCACAGACCACACAATGGCTTTACAGTGTGTTCTTTGCTTTCATAGCCACTCAACATTTTTATAGGGTGAATGGGGATGGGGTTTTTCAGTTGGTTGCAACTTTAAATAGGAAAGATTGATGAATTTGTCTAAACTGAAGAACATTGTTTCTGTCATGCTATTCGAAACAAGTTTGAATTTCCTTAAGTACCTCAACCTAGTCAGTCATTCCGTGAACTTTTTCACGAGCTTTTCAAAATGTTTGCATTCAGAGACCTTTCATAAAACATTCCTTTCTGCTGTGCTCTGTGCTTTATTCAAATTTATTGGTTCCTAAAATGTAGGCATTCCTCATGCAGAAAAGTATGATTAAGAGTAATTATGAGGATTGTAGTGCATTGAATTATTCTTGGTATGTATGTGCTAAGGTCCTTCTGCATCTTATACCCTATTTAACATGTGAATTCTTATATTACCCTATCTCTTTCATAATATCAATGTGCTGCACTGTTATGCACTGTATGTGATTTGTAGTCAAATATTTTTGGTTTTATCAAACAAATCCTACCTCTCCAACTCAAACTTCAGATCACACAAAAGGGGAGGAAAGTGCATGTCGGTGTGAATAGAAAAGAGAACACAACGTGAGAGTTGGGAGCCACGGGTCATGGCACTGAAGTGGGGGGTAGGTGGCAGAGGCATATGGCAGTTGTTAAAAAAAGAAGACAAGAGATGGGAACCTTTAAAGAAATGCTGGCGGGCTCAGAGGGAATACTTATGATGGCACCGGAGGTAGATTGTGAGGGTAACAGAAGGGTACCAAGAGTGATTTAGAAAGAAGAAGATAGGATGAGTTAGACATGTAAATGGCGGGAGGTGAAGAAAAGAGGTTGAGGGAAAAGTGAGAATAGAGAGATAGTTGAAAGAGAGAATGAGAGACAGGGAGAGAGAAAGTGCTGGAAGGGCAATATTTAATGTGATAAATGAGTTGTGACAGGCTGCCTCTTACCCCCTTCCAACCAGCAAAGAAAAACACAGAAATAGAAGGCATTATGAGTAAAAGGACATATACTCCATTATATATGTATATAGTAAGAAAACAAGATGCCAAAACGGTAAAAATGGAAAGGTAGAGGGCAAATGTGTGCAGGCAAAAGGACCTTCATAGTAATAGTCAGTGTTGTAGATGAACTAAGTGAAGGACGAGAGTGGGGATGCATACGTAGAGCCTGAAGAAGTAGCAAATGAAGCAAAGCAGTTTAGGTAAAGGACATCCTACCTTAAAGAGGGGGCACAGAAAAAGAAAAGGGAATGGCATGGGGTGGGTATGTAATGCAGCAGCGTGTTAATGATCTACGGTGTAAGATTCTGCAAAATGTCAGGTAGCAGAGGATAAAAAGACCAAAGCCAGATCAGAAAGAATGTAAAGGATTTTTTACATGGAATCTGTCAAAAACGGTTGCATAATAGGAGAACATATAAGTAGACCGAGGTACTTTCTCAACTTATGGATGCTATATGGCTAATAACTGGACCCCAAGTCCGTTTCTGAGGGTATCAACCCAGTGAAAAACCTTTGGGCCCATCCTTTTTTTGATATTGTGTATCATGCCTTTACAAGGCAGCTAATCACAACCTGCTATGATATTAAATGGTCAGTTAGCCAAGATGGCACTGACTACTTCACTATTGCAGTGACGTATAGACTGGAAGTCCAGTTGACAATGATAGCCACTGTAGTGCTTTTTGGGAGTGGAAGCCTGAAAGATGACTCATAGGGAGAAAAGAAGAAAGGAGAAGCATAGAGAGATGAGAGGAAGGGAGCTGCATAGTTTTAAAGGAAATAAAGAGTCAGGAAGAAGAAATGGGGCGTGAGCAGCCCTTTGGCTGAAGTTCACTGCTTGATCTACCAGCTCCTATTCATTCTATCTTTTTTTCTTTTCTAAATGGTCTGATTTCCTCTTCTTTAACACTATTTTCTTTCCCCATTGTCCATTTCAAGGTGCTTGGTTAGTTACTGCAAGCCAATGACTGATCAATGGTGGCAATCATCGCATTCCATTTGCCTGTGGGGAGAAGCTTTGATCATTGAACATTGAAAAATAAAAAAATGTTTATGTTTGTGCATTTAGCAGACATTTTTATCCAAAGCGACTTACAAAGTACACACAATGAAATAACATGCTGGAGTGATTTAAAAAATGAATGTGTTTTTACATTAAGAAAGCCCCTAACCTATCCATCTTTTTCTTTTCAAATCCCGATCTCTTCCACAAGTGAGGACGGCAAGATTCTCTCAGGAGCCGGCAGACCAGACAGTGGTGCGGGGCCAAAGGGTGATCCTGTCCTGTGTTGTGTTCAACTACTCTGGAATTGTTCAGTGGACCAAAGACGGTCTGGCTCTGGGCATAGGAGAGGACCTCCGGGGTGAGACATCACACGCTGTCCTCAGGCTTCCTTCTCTCAGTCGAGCATGTGACTGAGACAGACTTTGTAAAACAAATTCTGATATATTTGGACTGAAAATGCTGATGGTTACCCTTGAAATTAGGATATCTTGAGTTTTTTTCCTTTTTAATGTTATTTTGCAAAAACTGCTGACCTTTATAATGTGAACCGCATTTCAGAGTTAAGATAAAAGATTCTTTTTTTGAATGGGGACTGTGTTGTTACTGTGCCTTGGTGTCAAACTCAGACTGAAATTGAGGGACAGTCCTGTTGCCACAATAATGTACATTTTGTGCCAACACCCAAGAAAAATTGGACATTCTCCAGCAGAGCAGAACTCTGATCTATGTGAAAATATCAGCAATGCATTTATCATAATGAACAGAACTGCTGTTGATGATATCTGATTGTACATAAACAGCTTCATACCTACTTGAGTCCACTGTAAAAACCGTATAGTAAAAATATCAAGTGAAAAACTGGGAGAAGATTAAATACCCAGAAAATATTTATATATGATCTATAACAAAAGCCGGACATTCTTTGAATAACAATTCAAAGTTAAGTTGCTTAAGTTTGTTTCCTATGTCTAGAAATTCATGTTGCTTCAGATTGGTCTTGGTAGCTTTTCAATAATATGGAACCAATTTAAGGCTTAAATTAATCATTATTGGAGTAAATAAATTAATATTCAATTGTCTATTTATTTATTAATTTGCTGTGTCTGAAAATATGTCACAAATACATTTTTTAAATAGATTTTTCTTTAAAATTTTTGTACTTCTTTGATTTAATCAACAATCATCGGGCACTACGTTTTTATTTCTTATTTTTTTCTTACATTGTTTTCTTCAGTTCAACCGGGGTCACTAAGTTTAGGATTTATTTTTGTTACTCAGATGTCTGGTGGTTTGCATTGTAAGTGGGTTGCTAGTTTTAATCCTGGCAAAGAACCTTTCTGTATGATGTTCGTATGTTCTCCAACTACCTCTAACTGTCCAAAAACGTGCATGCTAGATTAGTTGGTGACTGTAAATTGATCCTTGGAGTGAGTGTTCTTGGTTCTTGTCTCTGTGTTGGACCCTGTGATGGACTTGTGATCTTTCCAGGGTATACCCCTAGTCTCTCCTAAAGACAGTTAAGATAGGCTCCCAATGCCCGTGACCCTGTATTAGAGTAAGACTTTAATTTCAATTAAAGTTGACTTAACAACAAAACATCAATATCAGCTGTTTTGCTTATTATGTAATACTATGGTTGCACCTTGAGTAGGGGGATCCTAGTGCCAGCCACTGAAAAAGAAAGATAGGGGAACCAAAGGAGTTCGAAAGAGCTCCGCTTTACTATAAAAACGGTGTGGCAAGCTAGATGTACAATATTACAACTAAACTTGAGAAAAGCCAAATCCAAAATCCTACAAGATCTCTACAAACCAAGAAGTACACTTTGGAAGGGAGCTAGAAACACTAAAGGCAGAGGATGTCAAACTAAAAGTCATAGAGACAGTAATATACTGCAAGGATCTGACAGAAGGGAATGAACCAGAAGAGCGTATTTGCAAAGGAGAGTGATAGTGAGTGAAAGCAGCTGTGGGTAATGATCCAGGAGAAGGGAGTGGATTGTCTAAGAGAACCAGGGAAAACTACAGAAAGTGAAGGTGGCGCAGGACACAGGAAGCAGACGCAAACACCATAATAAGATAAAACACTGGGAGGAACTGAGGGAACTGTAAACTAAGAACATGGTCATAGAATAAATGCAGAAATACAAAAGAAAACCTTGAAACTCAACCTGGAATCATCAGTAATCCAAAAAACCTGAAAAACTTCTCAAATGTAATGTAATTTTTAATATGAAAACACTTTATTGTCCAGTTTATCAAATATGAAAATTTTTGCTTAGTCCATTCATAATTTGAAAATATGGACTGTGGATTGTAGCATTAAGGCATTTGTCTACTAATATTATCTTGATTTGAACTTATAAAGCAATTACTAATTTATTGCTGAAAATAATGAAAAGATTAGTCAATGATGACTCTATGAACTTTAGTGCCAACCCCACATCAGCCAACAACAACAGCTTATTGTTATTTCATCAAAGTGCAGAAGTAATGATAATTTGATTAGATAAACTCTTACAAGATAGCTATTAAATTGAGGATTCTTCAACTCATTGAATATATATGAATTAATATTTTGATAACAATTTTTAGTGATTAAAGTTTTACTCGTAATGGGAAACTTTAAATGTAGGACTTTTACCTAAAGTCCTTAATTTACAGAAAGCCTTTCTGATGGCTTAGTATTTGCAATTGATTATCCATGTGTAACTCTTTATGATGCTATCACCTCCAATTTGAAGTTACAACCATGCTAATTTCCCCCCTTAAACTGCAGGAAAGCACCACTTAAGGCCTTTATCTAATTTCATTTGGAGGCACCAATGCACGTGTTTGGAAGCGGAATGGAGTGTGAATGCGAAGTCAGACTGGACAAAACTGTGTATCTATAAAGCTTAGTATCTGTTTAGTTAGAGGAAGTAAAGAGGAAGAACTTTCCTTTATTCAAGCTCTTAAGAAAATGGCATATGGGGAGGTATTAGCATCTTGGTGTGTAATCTATTTTTTCCATAGCTTGCTCATTCTACTGAAATTAAAAGTCTGCACCACGGAAAATAATATTATAAAAATATTGTACAATATTGTATTGTACAGTGGAGCTTTCAGAAAAGTATGCTGCCTCCATAACTGCATATTTGTACTTGACAAGCTTCTAAGATAATTATTCAAAAATAGTAGTTGCTGATTAATTTTCGGCTGACCTATTATTTTTTTATGTAGCTATGGTGTGAGGAAAGTATCTTCTCAAACAGCAGCCCAGTGTTAGAAACGAAATTGCGTGTTTGCAGCTGCAGTATCAAATGCATGCTGACAAATTGCTCTTGCTTCTCAATTTGGTAGTTACAGACAGACTGTATAAGGTAGCTTGAGATAAGAAAGTCCACTGTCATGTTACCACCATGTAAAACCTTATCTGCTACTACGTTACCCCATCAGATCCTATTTAGATACTGTGAAAAAAAATATAGGTTGATAATGTTTGCCCACCTTCTGCACAGGAGTTCGACAGGAATTCCTTAGCTCCTTTTCCAGACTGACTTTCTTTCTTAGGTTGAGGAACATCACTTGATCATGTGTCGGAGAAGCAGTAGTTGCCACTTGGTTTCTAATATTTATGTTTATTGTTGGCTGTCTGTTCGACAGTCAAGCTCAAAAATATAATTGAACTGTTAACACTTGTTCTTCTTTTTTCTGTCCTGAGTGATTTTTTCCACTTTGATTTAGTCTACTTTGGCAAAAACTTGGGTTGAGTGACTCATCTCATGACTGGATTACAACATTTTGCAAGTAGTCCAGAAGGAATGATGCAGGAGATTAAGTAGTCACTGGTCAAAACATGTTGGGCATATTTTCAACCGATAGGAAGCTAATTGTGTTCCATATGTGTGGCTGTTTGGTATTAGTTATATTTATTTGTCCGTTAATTTTGTTATTTCTCCATTCTGAATTACTTAGTTTTCACTCCTCATTTTCCTACGCTTCACTTCTCATCCCTTCTGCACTGTCTTTCCTCCTCTATCTGTCACTCTATTCCTCTGTGACACCCTCATCAGAGATCTCTTGTTCCTTTCAGTCCCGCTTGTGCTCTTTGTTCTTCTTTCAGCTGCCTTTGTTGCACTGAGCACTCTCTCAGATTCTCCTTTTAAACTGTCTGCCTAATCTCTCATCTGCTTCATTGGTTGACCCACTCCAAGTTCCTGCACTCCTCTTCATGCCCCTCATTTCTCTCTTCCTGCTAATCATTGTCATTCTCTCTGTCCACTTTTATTTTGGTTTATGTAATTGGAATATTACTGTAATGTTAAAAAAAAAAGTTTTTTAAGATTATAAACAAAATTGTCTTCTGTGTATGAGTGCCTTTTTTCTGTGTGAACTCCTACTCTCTACACACCCTTCTGCTCTGTGTTTTGCATATGCTGTTTCGCCCCTTCCACATTTCAGTTGCTTAAACACACATATGAAAAGCACACACATATAAATTCAGGCAGAAACAAGTAGATGCAAAGATTAGGCATGCAGCAGTGCACAGCTCAGAGGCGCTGCACATGTGAAATGACAGAAGAGTTTCACACGTCATCCATGTCTAGCAAGTAAACGTGCATTCTGCACCATGGAGCAGAGTCAATTTGAGTGCAGTAAAACACTGCTGTCATAATGTATTAATCCCCCCCGTTCTGAGAGGAAGAAGCTTGGATGCCACCTAACGGTGAGAATGCGTGGTAGTGACACGGCTGGACTGTGTGCTGGATGGGGGAGGGGAAAGGGACTATTAGGCCGGCTGCATGTGTTGTTACTACATGTGCAGATATTTGAATGTGTATGTACAGTGTTAAATATTGTGCATGTCAGTCACATCATGAGGCCTTACATATCTGGCGCCCTTTATTCCAAAGATGAAAAATACACATTTTTCTTTTTTAATTACATGGAATTTATGTTTTCCGATCGGCATGATGAGTTGCAATGCACTGTGTGGTCATACAGACCTCATAGAGAGCCTTAGGCGTATGTCCTACCATTATTTGAACCTTCAGATAATTAACAAGTAAGAAATTAAATAAATGAGTCATAAAAGTGTTGTGCTAGTGGCATCTGGATGGAAATGTGAGGCTATAATTAACTAAATGTATGTGAATGAGTCTGTAGCCTTCACATTGGCACCCTAAAAATGTTTAAATCTTTGTGTATGTGCATGTGATCCAGCCTGGCCTAGGTACCGTGTGCTGAGGGTCCAGGAGCTGGGTCAATACAACCTAGAGATCCTGTCCGTTGACCTGTCTGATGACTCCTTATATGAGTGCCAAGCCCCTGATGCTGCCTTGAGGTCTAGAACGGCCAAACTCACCGTCCTCAGTATGTTTGTGTTGTTTTGTTACATTGTGCATGACTATTGGAACTTTATTAGCTTTTTTAATCAAGCCTCTACTGCTACAGTTCCTCCTGACGACCCGGTGATTGATGGGGGTCCAGAGGTTCTGCTTTATGCAGGGGAATCATACAACCTGAGCTGTGTGTCTCGAGGGGCTAGACCGGCCTCAAAAATTGAGTGGCTTAAAGACGGTCTGCCTGTGGAGGGCGCTGTCAATGATACTGTGAGTTTAAAAAAAAACCGTAAAGAACTCATGTTCACTAACTGATGAAGCATGTTGTGCTCCTTTTTAATCTTTAATCAACATATCTCTGTTATCTCCTGACAAGGAGGTGCTTTCAGACCGGAAGAGAATGACAACACACAGCTACCTTCCTGTCCAGCCCATTGACACTGACACTGGGCGGAACTACAGCTGTATTGCCTCCAACCCGGCTGTTCCCACTGGCAAAAGCACAACTGTCACTCTTAATGTGCACCGTAAGCAATTATTTTCTTAATATGAATTGAATTTTCTTTGATAACTTTTCTTTGAGATGTTTCTGATTGTCCCATGTTTTTTTGTCGTCCATATATGCATCAGCTGTTTGTTTATTTTATTTTTTCTCTTTCTTTCTCTTTTCCTTTTCCCATCTCTTACTCTCATTTCATCATTTTTTGTTTATTTATTTCTCTTTGACTAATGATCAATCTGTACACCAAGAAAGAGAATAAAATGAATAAATTAAATTGGAAATCGGATTTTGATAAAGAGTTATATTTTTGTAATTTCACTATAACATGAAAAAAAAAATTATAATCTTGTAATGTATGCCAACCAACTGTCTCAAAGTAGTTGGGACATGCCATGTTTACCATTGTTTCACATCTACTCCTATAACTACAGTCTTCAAGCATCCAGGAATTTAGGAGACCAGTTGCTGAATCTTGAAACGGGAATGTTGTTTCATTATTGTCCCATATAGTTTTAGTTATATTTTTTCTTTTTTGATGGCTGAAATGTTTCACTAGGTGTAATGTTCTGCAATGCAGGTTGGCCAGATTAGGACATAGACTATTGAACAATTAAACCTTGCTGTTATAATTGATGCAGTGTCTATTTTTGCATGGTCTTGAAGAAAATGCAAGAAAAAAAGTATCAACCAGGTAGAAAATGTTTTTAACCTTTCAGCACTATTGGTGCTTTTTCAGATTTGCTAGTGGCCAATACCAGAGTGTCTAAGGTACACCCATACTTTCAGAGATGCCGGCTTTTGATCTGAACTCAGTTAACAACTATGGTTGTCTTTGTCTTCGTCAGTTTTTGAAAATCTAACACCTCCAACCATGATCAAATTTCATTTAGTCTGACCACTGAAGACTTATTCACCAACAACTCTCTTTTGTTAGGTTTTCTGTACCCGTAAAAGAGTAAAAGAAATGGTGATATTACATTATTACCATTTTCATTTTCATTTTACACATCTTCTTTTGGATATGGGGTTGTAGAAGGGAAAAGAACTTCATATACATAAAGAGTACAAGAATTGTTTCATATATTGATGCTACATTTACATAAAAATAGAACAAGGATGAGCATAGTAATTTTAAAGTAAAACATCTGTTACCAGATGAAGCATTCTAAAGCTTTTATTGAATAATGCATTGGAACCATTATGCTTCAGATGAGTAAATAATGCATGGGAACTATCATGCAACAGATAATCTTTTAATTGAAACATTCATTGAATATAGTAAAGTTATGTTTTGTGTGTGTCTCTTTTCCAGATCCACCAATAGTGACCTTGTCCATTGAGCCTCGCTCTGTTCTGGAAGGGGACAGAGTCACCTTCACCTGCCAGGCTCATGCTAACCCTCCTATTATGGGATACAGGTTTGGTTCATCATCCTGTCTTATTCAAGTTGCAGTTTAGCCACCAATCAATTTAAGTTGAAATATAAAAATAAAATGAGTTGGTCTAAGATGTGTTGTGTTTGATAGATGTAATACATTGTGTTTAAATTCTAGGTGGGCAAAAGGCGGTGTGGTGCTGCAGGGTGCCAGGGAGAGTGTGTTCACTACCAAGGCTGACCACTCCTTTTTCACTGAGCCAGTCTCCTGTCTGGTTTTCAATGCTCAGGGGAAGACCAATGTCAGCATCTTGGTAGACGTTCATTGTGAGTAAGACGGAGTACTCATCTCACCTTGGTCATTTGTTTGCAACAGTCTGGAGTCGGAAGTGTCTCATTCTCTCAAAGCAGCTTCCTCTCGTACTCTCACTGTTTTATTTCTTAAACTAAACTCAGGACATCCCTCAATCTCTGTCCCCAGTTGGCCCGATACTGTTGGTTGAGCCACAGCCAAAAACCGTTGACGTTGACTCAGATGTCACCCTCAATTGCAAATGGGCCGGAAACCCTCCGCTCACCCTTACCTGGTTTAAGAAGGGTTCAAACATGGTAAGAAACCAACAGACTACACTATGCTATCTTTCATCTCTCACTGTATTCACACAGTTTTAATAGGTCAAACTTTTATGTACGTGTTGACAGCGGCATCCTGCTATGGAAAAATGTTCACTGGCTTCCAGTTTTATAAGTAAAACATGATCTGATTAGATAATAAACCTAGTCTATATACATTTTAGTTATCATATATTTTTATTTATATTTTGTAGCATAAACTACAGTTCTTACAAAATATGTGACTGTTTGGCAGCCAAATTGAAATTCATGAATAATCTTGACTCCGGAAATGACAATTTGTTTAAAATCGTATATTTAGCTCTTATCTTCAGTTATATTTAACAGATTTAAGCTTCTTGTGGCCAAAGAGCTTTATTTATTCTCTGCTAAATTAGTTTGTATGCAGTGTTTATTTAGCTTTTCAAAATTTCACGGTGTTGTAAGTGTGTGTGTTACAGAGAGCAAGTGGCTCAAATTTTTGTGTGCCATCATTGTCAAAGGGGCATTTCAGTGAATTATTTAATTGATTCAGTTATCAGGTTTTGATTTCACAGGTATTCCATACTTTGGCTGAGCTGCTGCTGATGAAATTTGATTAGATATAAGACCAAAACAGTAAAATGAATTAAATCTGCTTCACTATATATCCTCTAAAAACTGTTGAATGCTACTGGCACCCACAGTCAGTGTTTTTTTTGTTCAAGGTAGTTTAATGTTTAACTGTAATTATGTCCATCCATTACTTATATTGCTTTCTATACTTATCTATACTTATCTTCTATACTGCTACAATGGGCGAGAGAGGCTGGGTACACACTGGATATGTCAGGGCCACTCAGAGACGAACAACCACACACACTCACATTCACTCCTAAGGGCAATTTTGAGTGTCCAACCGACCTAACATGCATGTTCTTGGACGGTGGGAGGAACCTGGAGTACATATGCAGACAGAGATCCCCTAGGGAATTTGAACTAGTAACCCTCCTTAGGTTAGGCGACGATGCTAACCACCAGACCATTGTGATTATCTCCCAAAAAATGTTCAGATGGATGTGGTTGCTAGGTTACCATGAAACCCTTTGTAATAGTTTAAAAGTTAAAGGCCAAGCTTGCAATTTACTGTCTGTACTCACAGACTATTAAAGGTATGAGGTGTACTGGGGGAGTGTACATAGCCTTTCTGTGAAGCCTTTGATGGCATTGTTTATATTTGTGTGTTTTTTCACTCCCCCACAGGTTTTGAGTAACAGCAATCAGCTGTATCTGAAGTCAGTGAGCCAGGCGGATGCGGGCCAGTATGTATGTAAGGCAATCGTGCCACGGATTGGAGTAGGAGAGACTGAGGTGGCGCTCACTGTCAATGGTCAGAAAACATCCACACGGCTTCATTTTCTGCTTGCATCAATATAAAACCCTTTTGCCTTTAAAACAGATGCCTTTTCAGTCACTGAATAAAAAGTTGCTTGTCCAGAAATGTGTGCATTTATATTCTTCATTACCAAACTTTTTGTACTTCACAGGGGATTTCTTTTCATGCTCTCTTTTGGTCCAACAGGTCCTCCCATCATCTCCAGTGAACCCGTCCAGTATGCTGTGAGAGGAGAAAGAGGAGAGGTGAAGTGCTACATAGCCAGCACACCTCCTCCAGATAAGATAGTAAGTAAAAAGATCAAGAAAATCACAAGCATCAATTATTCAGACAAGAAAAATTAATAATAGAGAAGGATAATGCCAGACAAAGAAAAGCTTTGATCGCATGGTTGTATCTTTTGCTCCAACAGCGGTTTGCATTATAATCTTTATGTACCTTTTCCTAAATGGCTCCCTTCCTTGCACTGAGAATGCTTTTAGGCTCTGTCCTCTTTTTCGTTTGAGTGGTGACTCACACGCTGACTCTCAACGCTCCTCCACCCCGTCAAATAAGCAAACCATCACTAACACTCCGCCAACCACTTTTAGCTCTGCATCAGAAAGCTACCCAGACTGAAGCAGTAGTAGTTTCCACAACTATTGTGCGTCTGTGACTGATTGGTCTTGACTTGTGGTGTGTCTAATGCAAGTGGCAAAGGTTGGGGCAGAGAGATTCATAAAATATAAAGCACTGGGAGGGACAGTTGTCCCTGTAAATACCACAGCCAAGAGATTCCCCCACTCTGCAGTAAGTGGGCAGATTATAGGAACATGTGGGTTTATGCATAATTAACTTATCCAAGTACAGCACTTCAGTTCTGAATAATGAAGCTGCTTTTAGTGGCTTTAAAGGTGGAGACTGTGCAATATTTTTCGCCAGCTCAGTGCATGTAGGCATGAGTGTGTTTTTGTAAAGAACTGCATTTTTTGCTTGACAGATGTGTGACGTCAGCTGTGCCTTTTACCAAATATAATCGCATCATAAATTATGTTTTGTTTTCAGGGATGCACTAAAGAGCATTTAAAAAACTTGTCATCATTTTTAATGTATTTAATTATAACTTACAGATGGTTTGAGTTGCAATGTTTGAGTTGAATTGATGGGAAGTTGCAGTCACGTTACATGACAAAAAACATCTGTAGGTGTGGGCATGGAAGGAGAATGTGTGGGAGAAGGAGAAGGGGACTCTGCTAGAGAGGTACACGGTGGAGCAAAGCAAACCATCAGCTGAAGGTGGCGTCCTCTCCACTCTCACCATCAACAATGTGATGGAGTCTGATTTCCTGTCCACCTACAACTGCACAGCGTGGAACCCTTTCGGCCCAGGAACCATGATCATCACACTGGAGGAGAATGGTGCGTTAGATTTTAACTTAGGGAAAATGAAAAAAGTTTATATGAGATTTTAATGTTTAAATAAGTAAATCATGAGTCAATAACTAAGCACTTTATACAACTTAAATTGATAGAATTTTCCTATGATAGAATCATTCTTATTAAGTCATTGACTGCAATCTAAACTTTCACTTACCCTTACTTTTCTCTGTCTGATTCTTTTCCAACCTTTCATTACAGAGGAGGTTCCGGTGGGAATAATAGCAGGCGGGACAGTGGGCTCTACCATCCTCCTTTTCATCTTTTTACTGGTCCTTGTTCTTATCTTCTATCGGCAGCGCAAAGGCAGTGAGTCATATTCTCCATTTGCTTTGAAGTGGTTTTAGAAATAGTTTTTAAAGTGGAATTCATGCTTTTTATGGGGATTCACAGTGTAATTCTTCACTAAAGCTGCTGGAGACCAAAGAAAATCTAACACCTCCAGCGTATGGCCGTATGCCCCCCCTCCCCGTGCTTGTAAAACTCACTGACTGACAAACCCATCTCCAGCTCTAATAATTCTTTCCGTTTTTCGCTTCCAGGCCGGCGTGGTGTCACGCTGGGTAAGCCTGACATCAAGGTGGAGACGATAAACAAGGAGACCCACAGCTTGGAGGAGGACTCTGGCAGTGTGTCCACAGCTTCGCGCATGGTCAAGGCCATGTACTCGGTGAGCAGCAGCGTAATGTTTATGTTTGTCTTCGGTTCTGTTTTCACAGCCTGTAGATGTAGAAAAAGACTCAGAATAACTCTGTAACCTCTCTCCATGGTGCTCTGAACCATTTTACTGAAACCACTGATTTTCTCTTTTATCGCTCCTTTTTAACTGTTTTAAACCCATTTTCTCTTTTTTTTTTCCATATTCCTTCCCTCTTCTGTTTTGTTACAATTCTTTCTCCTTTTTTTCTTTTTATATATTTTTTTGTTTTGTTTTGTTGTTTGACGGTTTAGTTTCTCCCCTCTGTGTCCTTCTCTCCCTCCAATCAGCCTTTTAAAGATGACATAGAGCTCAAGTCTGACCTCCGCAGTGACACCCTGGACACCCGTCAGGAGTATGACCTAAAGGTGAGATCATACAGATGACAGAAGCAATCAATAAAATCAGTTCAGGGGGAATATTTTTATTTCATTTTAAACTGAATTTAGAACAGAAATTTGCATGGTTCAGGCATACTCTGCCCATGGTGCTGACATGAATCATTTAAACATTTTGACTCCATGAGGTTGGGGTGAATGCATTTTCACCTGTGAAGATGCCAAAATATTTGTCTGAAAGCCCCCCCCCCCAATGAATAATCTGTAGAGGTAAATAATTCAACACCTCTAGCTGGAGTGCTGCCTTGAAACACCTTGAGGAAACACAGACACGTATCCACGGCAGGCGTTTTTTATATCCCCCAGACAACTGCCTCAGTCAAATGTATTTTTTTCTCCCCACTGCCTGAAGTACCAAAGTGGTGGATAAACTTTGATAGAAAAAAGTTTGTGAAAATAAGATGGCAAAAATCCTGTAAGAATTTGCAGAGTGAAAAAGGGGAAGCAAGAATAATTTGAATAATTTGAATGACAACACACGAAGATAAGATTTAGATTTCTGTGGTTCCATTGAGAGAAAAGGTCCACATCGTACCTTCTGTAATCCTGAAGTATAGATGTAATAGAAATAATATTGCACTTTGGTATATAAAACTTAGGTATATAAAACTGTATAAAAATAGCAGTAATGCACATTTTCTTTATGCATCGTGCAGAAGCAGACAGCACAGTTTGGCTGGTCCTGTGACTTATACTCAGGACCTGTTTTTAAATAGTAAATCATACTTACGGATATAAACCAAGAAGTAAATATTGTCGTCTATAGCCACAAGAGGGTGCTCTACGCTTGTGATAAGCACATCATGCTTACCTGTAACTTACTACTTGGACTTGGCGTACATAACTGTTAATGTTTAACGTTAACATACTGGACTCTGAACATATTCAGACTGTTGTTATGTGTACTATTCTGTTGTTAAATAGCTTGTTTTTCCAGATTAAGGGTCTGTTCTTGGATTTGTGAAATAAATTTCTAAATAAATGCAATTTTTTTTTTTTTTTACTGATGCGGATGATACTCAAGAGTAATTTAGTCCATAAAATACAGTATTATGTCCAAATGCCTTCACTTTAGTCTTCAGAATCAGAAATACTTTAATAATCCCAGAGGGAAATTATTTTTGTTGTTTTTCCAGAGGCAATTGTTCTACAAGTCTTGTGGCTTGTTCAGATGCAACTTAACCAGCCTAAGCTTTTTTTAGAGAAAAGCCTTTTTTTTGCATCGCACCCAAGGAAATAATACTGGTTATATATATTATTGATAGGTCTGCCATTAAATTTAACATTTAACATGCTAACTCAGGCTTGAGTAGTATGAGAGCTAGCTGCATTGTGACTACAGGATGAACTCACCTTCTTCATTCTTTTTTTAATTTCCTGTTCTTGTTACACACTGTTTTTGCATTTTTTATTAGGATTTGTTGCATAAAACCTTAGGATTGAGAGTTTTTACGTTATTGTCTACGATTATGGAAACCAACAAAGATTTGACTTTTGGAAACGCTACAAAGAAATAAAAGTTAATGGTGACCTTTTACCCGCCACAAGAACACAACATTCATTGTGATATTTATTTGCGAGCATGCTCCTGTTACAGTGTTTTATTTGGGTGTAGAAACCTTCTCTAAGAAAATTGACTATGTATTTATAACTTTTCTTAATTTCGGTTCTTCATAATGTTTTTTATTGTCTTTCCTTCTTTGCCTTCCAGGACCCCACTAATGGCTACTACAATGTGCGAGCCTCCACTCATGATGAAATCCACCCTGGCCCCCGTTCCACCATGCACTACTCTGACTACCGCTCCCCTGGTGGAACACCAGGAGGAGCACCATCTATCAGTAGCAGCACTGGAGGCTCAGGAGCCACTGCCAGTGGAGGAGCCCCTGGTCCCCTAACGTCCCCTGGGCGCCCTCAAGCCTGCTACGACCCCCGGCCACCTTCCAGACTGTCCCACATCAGCTATGCTCAGTTCAACACTTTTACCCGTGGTGGCCAGAGCCAGCAGCCCCCAACTAACCCAGCTCCCGCTGTCAGTGAGTTCCCTGGGGACTGCAGCCTCCTGGACTCCTCTTCCCAGCTGGCCTATGACAACTATGGATATCCCTCACACTACCAGACCTACCGCATGGGTTTTGCACCATCCAGCCTGGCCCCTCTAGAGGCAGGCCCCTCTTATGAGATGTATGGGGTGGGATCTGGAGTGGGCAGCCCAGGAGTCGGAGTTAGTTCCGGAGGTCCACCTCCCTCAGGATCAGACACTGGACTTGGAAAGTATGGCAGCTCTACTCGCTTCTCCTACACCTCGCAACACTCTGACTACTCTCACAATCGACACACACAGAGAATGCAGACTCACGTGTGAGACAGAGATGTGCAAACACCTCACACTCTTAACTGAGCATGAGGACGCATCCTATAAATAGTGTCATGCCCAAAAAACTCACACAGTCACAAATTCACCTGCACACATTCCCGGACTACAACACACCCCTCTGCACACAAACATGACAGAGCCACCAAAAATATCAGACACACTTAACCATGCACAAAATCAGAAAACAAAAGAGAGGCACGGAGAACAAAAAGACTTAGGAATGAAGGAGTTCCGGTAACACAGCGAAGGGAAATTACACACAGTTTAGAGTCTCACATGCCCATCGTGTTTGTATAGCTAAGCTCTGAAAGAGCTGAAAGTGCAAGTCACAATCAAGACTGGGAATGAGAGCAAGACTTCGAAAAAGGACAAAAGATCAAAGATCTTTGGAGCCCTTAGCTTTGGCTAAGAACTGACATTGTAAAATGATAAGACAACGTCTTCAAGCAAACTGACTTTCTCATATGTTACATGCTAATTAGAAGGAACCTCACCCGGTGGAAGTCATTTCTGGCCGCCATTTTTTTATTTTCTGTTAGTTGACACTCTCATTCAATTATGATAGAGCACATCCACAGCATATAATGTCCCGGAAGGCCTGTGTACAGTTATCATCATGCCTTTTAGGCAGAGAGGGGGAGTGAGTTGAGTTAGGGGTAATGGTTGGAGCTGTGGACATAATTTTGCAAAGCATCTACAATATTCATGCTTTGACATCCCCTATCTATATCTCTTTTATGTTTCTTTCGTTTTTTTACACTATTCACTAGAGCTTTGTATTCTATTTTTTAACATTACAGAATTATTTTTGTCAATATAGGGTGGATAAAGTGTATGTACGGACCAAAAGTTTGAGGGACAACCACCAAGTCAGAGTGAAGAACTGTGCCAAAGTCAGATGTATTTCACACCAGGTGCATCACTGTAAAAAAATGGAAAAGAAAAAAAAGAAGAAACCTTGTGCCAAGTGTTCATGTTGTTTTTCACCTTAAACCGTGTATATGCAGTAGAAGCTCCTTATTTTGGCGGATGTTGCTTTTAAAGCCAGGCCTGGGAAGAGTCTTTCCCAGACATTTTTTCAAGGCTGGAGCCTTTTTTACAGAGCTCCTGACCTTTAGCCTGTTGCAGACGGAGAGGAAAATCACAGATGATGGGTTTAGAGTGGCCTTATAGAGGAACATGTTATACATTTCCATTTTAAATCATTCATCATTGTCTGTTTGTCAAATTGGCCAGAGGAGAATGTGTATGGAGAGGTGTAATGAAGGTTTGTTCACAATGTTGACATGTATGACTGTGTGTGTATGATGGTATGAGTGATAAAGATTGAGCGGTGGTTTGTGGGTGTTGGTGCTCAGACCGATTGGTTTTGTTTGTAAAGAGATATGAATGGGTGTATGAATGGAAAGCATACTGTCAACATGTATACAGTATGTGCATTTATGGTACATTTGTGCGCGCGTGACTGTGTGTGCATGTGTTTCAGTATATGTCCATACCATTTCTCTCAAAATCCTGTTACAGTACTTTTATACCTCTGGTAGGACTGTATCCTGTATAATTGTGTCTTTGAATTTAGAAAAATTCAATGTTTATCTTATTGTACTGTTCGTAGCAGCAAAAACTGTTTAAATGATGTACAACGAACGTTATCAAACTCATTTTTTTATTTCATTATCTTCAATATTTTTTAAAAATGGTATGTAATTATTTTTCCACAGTATTACATAAATAAAAGCACTGTTTTTTTTTTAAAAGGAGCTTGTCCTCGTTTTACATATGTGTATATTAACTGGAATGAATGAAGTTAAGTTTCTTTTAACTTTTTATGGTTACGAACATAGGAAGAATATATTAATGTATTATCTATTAAATATATGACTCAGTTATCCGCATTTTATTTGATAGGACAATACATAAGATAAGATAAGAGCTTTATTGATCTCACAGTGTAGAAATTCACTGGTTAGAGTTCAAAAGGAGGAAAAGGTGCATACAAACAGCAAAAACAAACAAATATACAAGGAAGCAACAGTGCAGAGATTTGAGTGACTAAAATATATACAATCATTGATGGCTCACACACAGTACACATATTACACAGGTCAATAAATATAATACAACTGCACAGCAGTTGTTACAGTGCAGCATTGTACAGTCTTGTAGCAGCAGGAATAATCGCTCTTTTTTACACACAGGGTGTCTAAGTCTAAACGAGTTACTAAACGAGCTGCTCAGCTCCTCTACAGTGTGATGCAGAGGGTGAGAGGTGTTATCCATGATAGATCTCAGTTTGGACAACACTCTCCTCTCAGCCACTTCCTCCACTGAGTCCAGAGGGTAGCCCAGGACAGAAGTGGCCTTCCTTACTAGCTTATTCAGCCTCTTCCTGTCCCGCTCTGTGCTGCCAGGGGCCCAGCAGACGACAGCGTAGAGGAGGGCTGAGGCCACTATAGAGTCGTAAAAGCTTTTAAGGAGGGGCCTGCTGACTCCAAAGGCCCTCAGCCTCCTCAGGAGGTGCAGGCGGCCCATGCAATTTTTATACAGGGCGTCGGTGTTGTGAGTCCAGTCCAGTTTGTTGTTCACGTGAACACCCAGGTATTTGAAACTTTCTACAGTTTCTATGTCCTGCCCCTGGATGTTCACGGGGGGGTGGAGTGGTGGTCTTCTCCTGAAGTCGATCACCATCTCTTTGGTCTTATTGGTGTTCAGACACAGATGGTTTTTCACACACCAATTCACAAAGTCCATGATGACCGACCGGTACTCCAGCTCGTTCCCCTCAGACACACAGCCCACAATCGCAGAGTCATCAGAGAACTTCTGGAGGTGACAGCTGTCCGTGTTGTAGGTGAAGTCCGACGTGTAGATGGTGAAGAGAAACGGAGACAGGACTGTGCCCTGGGGGGCCCCTGTACTGCAGAGTACCACCTCTGACTGGCAGCCATGCAGCCGCACGTGCTGAGGACGGTCAGTGAGGTAGTCAATGGTCCAGTCAACCAGACGTTTGTCCACCCTAGCGTCCTCCAGCTTCCCCCTCAGCAGCACCGGTCTGATGGTGTTGAAAGCGCTTGAGAAGTCAAAGAATATGACTCTCACAGCGCTCCCGGTGGTCTCCAGGTGGGTGAGCGCTCGCTGCAGCAGGTAGATGATGGCATCCTCTACTCCGATGTTGGGCCGGTAGGCAAACTGCAGCGGGTCCAGGGTGGTGCTCACCACGGCGCGAAGGTGGGCGAGGACGAGGCGCTCCATGGTCTTCATCAGGTGAAAGGTCAGGGTGACTGGTCTGAAGTGGGCTGGTTCCCTGGCATGTGGCGTTTTGGGAACCGGTACCACACAGGAGGTCTTCGTCAGGGTGGGGACCACCCCCGGTGCTGAGGCTCATGTTGTAGATGTAGCTGAGGACCAGAGCTCATCTGCACTGGTTTTTAGCAGCCTTGGGGCGATACCGTCTGGTCCTGAGGCTTTCCTCTGTTTCAGCCTCATCAGCTGCCCTCTTACCTGGCTTGGTGTTACTGTGAGGGGGGAGGAAGGCCCGACTGAAGGTGTTGATGGATAGGGGGTTGGTGGGAGTGGCAGCGGTGGGGAGGGTAGGTCTCTGGGGGGCTGGGGGTTGGAGGGGTGTGGAGAGTTGAGGGCAGTGTGAGGGGAGTCAAACCGCGTGAAGAAGCTGTTTAACTCATTCGCAAACTTGGTGTCACCGTCTGCAGTCCTGCTGGTTCTCTCACCAAAGCCTGAGATTCTTTTCAGACCTCTCCACACATCTCTGACGTTGTTCTGCGCCAGCTGCTCCTCCATCTTTCTCCCATAGTCCTTCTTTGCAGCTCTGATCCTCCATTGTAGCTCCTGTTGAGCTCTACGCTGCCCCACTATGTCCCCTGAGTAGAAAGCCTGTTTCTTCTGGTTCAGTAGGACTTTCAGCTCAGGGGTCATCCAGGGGGGGTTATTTGGAAAGCATCGTAGCCGTCGTGTAGGCACAATGCTTTCCACACAGAAGGTCATGTAATCAGTAATGCATTCAGTCAGGCTGTTGATATCCTCACCATGAGAGCTTTGAAACATGCTCCAGTCTGTGGTTCTGAAATGCCATGTGGTGGACAGGTAATCTGTCCAGGGTGTCCCCAGTCTCTTGCCCAATGACAGCTGCTAGATGGGACAGAATAGAGCACCCCTGCGACCCTGAGTTGGAATTCTGAGTATAAAAAAGATTTACCTGTCCAGGGTGCTCTCTGCCTCTCGGCCAACGACAACCGGAACAGGCTCTAGCCCTCCTCTGACCCCATTGGGAATAAGCAGAATAGAAAATATTTGGATGGATGGAAAGACGGACTTAAAGAAAGGGGCATCTTCGTACCGGCAGGTGGCAGTCCAACCTGCTGAGCCTCTGAAAAAACAGAAATAATTCCTCTTACGTCATTGCCAATAGGTTGTCTAACAGCCAAGATGGCGGCAACAATGTTGAGGTCGCTGACAAAGCTGGGACGTCCTTCAACAAAATTGGTTTTAAACAACAACTACCTGATCCCTGGCTGTACGCTGCTGCAGAACAGGTAGGGTATAAATGGCTAGAACCTGGCTCTTCGTGTGACATATTTTTACCGTGTTGTTACAGCTTGAGCTCATCATAATGAGAGATGCTAAAGGGCTAATGCTAGCAAGAAGCTATATAAGCCGATATTGTCCTCGTAAAACTACCATACTCCTAATAAAGTTGTTACTTGAGCGAAAAATACATGTATATGATACGTGCTGTACACGGATAATTTCTTTTAATGTCCTTCTCGAATAATATATGTGGCATTGTTTACCTCAGACAGCTTGTCACTACAACGTTTAGATAAGTGAAGGATTAGGTTAGGAAATCTATTCACTTTTCAGTGACTAGTAAATAGCTTCAAATATTGCTCGTATCTATTTTGCTGTCTGAAAGTTAAGGTTACTTCAAGGCCTTATGTAAAGCCTGGAAATGTCTTATTTATGTAATTTTTGTTAGTGTTTTTAACTGGTTAAGATTTTGCACTGTAGAAAACCAGGCTTAATTTAATTTTGCTTTAATTTTTGTGTCTTATTTATAAAAGTAGAAAAGTAGCATGAATATAATAAATATACTGATCAATTAACAAAATATATTTTTCATGTAAAACCTTTTACGGTTATTTTTATAATAATGATGGTAGGGTTTCTCTTTTGTCAAATCTGGGGTTACAGCTTTGCCCTCTTTGCTTTGAGGATTTATGTGAAGAAACAAATGCCTTGTTTATACCTATGATCCAAGGATATATTGTTGTCTTTGCTGATTTAATCGTTAAATGTGATTTCTCTGCTTCACTATCAAGTAATATTGTTGGGCTGAAAGTATTTTGAAAGTTGTAAGACATGTTTTATTTACAAAACAATCTTAGAACTTGGAGCTACATATTATAGCTGTTTGTTTGTTAGTTTATGAGATTGAGTCAATTGAGTTTCTTGTAGGTAGCTTGCAAGTAGAGACTTCACTTACCTTTATCTGGGCTAATGTGACATTCTGCCAAAGTTAAACAGGTACACTTTGTTTTACTTATTGTTGAGAACATTTCTTGCAGGCAGAAGCAATGGCAGCCTGATGTGGAATGGGTGGAGCAGTACGCTGGGGCTGTGATGTACCCTTCTGCTGTCAATGAGAAATGGACACCACCCCCATGGAATGGTATGTGCATAATGAGAGGTTAAAAACTTTTAGCCAAATTAGTTTTAAATTAACTGGGTAATATACCTTTTACACAGCCATGAGTGAATAAAAGTTGATTTTAGTCTTATTGAATCTTCTAAAAACCTATTAGTATAGAGGCAGATATATACCGCATATAATATATACATACATACATACATACATACATACATACATACATACATACATACTGAGGAACATAAGGTGCCGTCAGGACTAAGAATATTTCTCAACAGTAACATTGGATACATGGACAGAGCAAGAAGAGAGTATAGCTATTTAACTGAAAAAGTAATACTTGCAGAAAAAGAATATGAAAATAACACCTGAAACTCTTTATGCAGAGTGTCATTTCAATGTGTTAGAATAAAGGGCAAAATTACAAAGTGGTCAAAAATCAACAGTCCTAATTTCTTGCAAGATTAAAATTCATTGTTGGATATTAACAAAATGAGTCCGCTAATTGCAATGGAGTTGCAACGGCGCAGCGTCCTAGAAATTGTATGACCACAACAATTTAATCAACATAGTTTTTTTTTTTTTCCTTTTTCTAAATAGCTTAATTGTTGACATCTTTTAAGACTTTTTCTCTGTCTTTCAGACAAGGATCCTCCTGCAGAGAAGGATGTGTCCAACTTGACTATTAACTTTGGTCCCCAGCATCCTGCAGCTCACGGTGTGCTACGTCTGGTGTTGGAGCTCAGTGGAGAGTCTGTCAAGAAATGTGACCCTCACATTGGACTGCTTCATCGTGGCACTGAGAAACTTATTGAGTACAAGACCTATTTGCAGGTACACAGATAAACTCAATGTAAATTGCAGTTGAAGATTGATTATTGTGACTTAATACACTCTTGACTGACCCAAAACCTGTACATTGTGAAAAAGTAAGGTAGCACTTCACCTCTTCAAAAGTTCCTGTCAGAGAAGTTGGTTAGTATCTCTAAATTTTTGTGTCAATTTTTTTTTTTTGTCGTTTTGTTTTAGGCTCTCCCCTACTTTGACCGTCTGGACTATGTTTCCATGATGTGTAACGAGGAGGCATACTCTCTGGCTGTTGAAAAGCTGCTCAACATTCAGGCTCCACCCCGTGCTCAGTGGATTAGAGGTTTAACAATTTTGTTGTCTGTTGTCTTAAACTCCTCTACATTATTTAATATGTGTTCAAATGTTTTTATTTCTTTACTCTTGTAAATTTAAAGGCAAAGTAATTATGAGAACAGTTTGGTGTCACGAGAATCATTGGTGATGAGAGTTGTTGTTTTGGCCGTTTTCGTAGTTCTATATGGAGAGATGACCCGCATCCTGAACCACATCATGGCCATCACCACACATGCCCTGGACATCGGTGCCATGACGCCCTTCTTTTGGATGTTTGAAGAGAGAGAAAAGGTCAGTACAACGCCCCTTTTAAGATCAAATATTCAGAAATCATACTGTATGACAAATCTCTCTTTAAGAATATTTTTTAAAGTTGGAAAGATAGTTCTGCCTACTTCAAAAACTCCCATCACAAGTGTCCTGTATGGTCAACTATCACCAGAATATAAATCATCACTGACCTTAACTTCTAGACAAACAGCCTGCCACCAGTTAACACTGAGTAAAGATGTGTGTTCAGCACTAACTATTGGTGTATGTGTTGGGGTCACCTCAGCTCTCTCTACAAAACTTAATCTTAAAGATAGATTAAGATGTCTGCTTCCTGGATGCATGATGGCAGATCTGTTTAGATATCCTGGAGATTTACATACATTTTGGCAAGTGTGAGTTCTCTCCAGGTTATCTGGTATCCTTCCACCACACAAAAACAAACATAATGTTATTTGGTGATTCTATTGTGTGAAAATGTGCCTTGTTAATCGTCTTTGGTAATCTGCTAAAGGTGTAAATCAGATAATTGAATTTCTTAAAGTTAGAGGGAGAGAAATTTTTAGTGACTGCCATGACTGAAAAGAAAATCCAATTTAGACAGCAAGGTTGATCTGTTCCTGTTAAACCTTTTTATATGTTTCCTCATAGATGTTTGAGTTTTACGAGCGGGTGTCGGGAGCCAGAATGCATGCAGCATACGTCAGGCCTGGTGGAGTCCATCAGGTAGGAGAAATCACTGAATCACTCATTTTTATTTTCCCTTTCTACAATTTTTATTTGATTATAATAAGCACTTTTTTTTTTTTTTTTAACCCCAAATTGAACTGAGTTCACTTTCATTTGAGGTCTTTGATGTTTTCCAGAGGCATTTGCGAGAGGGACAAGTAAAGCAAATTAAAATAATGATACACAAGCTGACATGTTTTGTCATACTTTCTTCTACAAAGACTTCAGTAAACCACTTTGATATAAATAACTGTGTAAACCATCCAAAAAAGAGTGGATCAGAATTGGAATTTTGCAAAAGGACCTGCTGTCTAAAGATTGCGTGAGTAGTAGAAAATTCACTGTGTTCCAGGATCTACCCCTTGGTTTGATGGATGACATCTATGAGTGGTGCAAGAATTTCTCCTTGCGAATTGATGAAGTGGAAGAGGTAAATGACTGCATTTAAAACTAAATAAAATCCCAGCAATGAAATTAAACATTATTTTATTTATACAGATGCTAACTAACAATCGTATTTGGAAAAACCGCACTGTGGACATTGGGGTTGTTACTGCCGAGGATGCCCTCAACTATGGTTTCAGGTAGTGACATGACAAACTAACATATATTTAGCAAGAAGCTGCTCAGACTAATTTAGTCTGTTTGTTAGGAGACAGTAATTGTATGAATGCGATCTTGTACCTTTTCGACTCATCCCTGTGACAGTGGAGTGATGCTGCGAGGTTCAGGAATCAAGTGGGATCTTAGGAAGTCTCAGCCGTACGACAAATATGATGAAGTAGAGTTTGATGTTCCAATTGGATCCAATGGAGACTGCTATGACAGGTAAAAGACTACCGTCTCAGTTTTTTACCAGAAATCACAAGCTGAGAGGATCTGTTTTCCTAAATGCTCACACTTATTTATTTATAGGGGCTAATTATGATGTCTGGATGTGGAATGTCATCCTTGCATTTGTATTATGCCATGTTCTTTAGGTACCTGTGCAGAGTGGAGGAAATGAGGCAGTCTCTAAGAATCATGATCCAGGCACTCAACAAGATGCCAGAGGGCGAAATAAAAGTAGATGATGCCAAAGTGGCCCCACCCAAGAGATCTGAGATGAAGGTGAGCAGAGTAGGAGTTCTTACTATCACCTTTTTAAATCCCTATTTAACAGCCACCTCTTTCATATATATATATATATATATATATATATATATATATAATTAAGCTAGTTCTTCTGAAAGATTTAATACGTTTATCTTAGAAAGATTTTCTTTTAACAGATTCAAGTTCAGTCACATTTCAATGTTTAAAAAAAAAAAAAAAATCATCTTGTGTGCTTTTTTTTCATGCTTGTCGTTTCAGACTTCCATGGAGTCCCTGATTCACCACTTCAAACTGTACACAGAGGGCTATCAGGTGCCACCAGGGTCCACATACACAGCTGTTGAGGCACCTAAGGTAATGGAAGGTCCCCACTTTGCTTTATTTACCTAAGATTTATTTATTTGTTTATTTTTGGGGTAATTTGTCATTAAATTCTTTACATTATTACCTTGGGTGAATTATGCTTATTTGACTGTATGCGTTTGTGGCATTTGCAGGGGGAGTTTGGTGTTTATTTGGTGTCAGATGGCACCAGTAGGCCATATCGCTGTAAAATCAAAGCTCCTGGATTTGCTCATTTGGTGCGTTTTTAAAACTTCACAAGACTCTTCAAAATTAAACACATAATTTATATATAATTTAGCTAGTCTAAGAGCTTACCCTTAAGACTACATTCAGTACATTAACTTTATATTCCAAAGTTTTATAGAACTGGTGCTTTTTTCCCTTTTTCTTTTAATTTTGGAAAGGTCTCAAGGTATTCTGGATATTAACATGTGTTTGCTTTTTTCTAGGCTGGTCTAGATAAAATGTCCAAAGGACACATGTTAGCTGACGTGGTGGCTATTATTGGTAAGTAATAGTTTTTGTTCTTTTACAGTGTAAATACAGAAAATGGTATGAAGTTGTATCATATTCAGTGTTCTTTTCATCTTCCTCTTACAGGGACACAGGATATAGTGTTTGGTGAGGTTGACCGTTAACGTAATGCTCGCAATGAAGAGGAGAGTTCATTCGTTTTCACACATCCATCAGTCTGGCTCTCTTCCTGTTCTGTCATTGTAGTTGTTTTCAACAGCTAACTGCTTATAATCATTAATGTATAATCTCCAAATAAATAATAAATGTTATATTAAAAGCGTCAGCGGTGTGACTTTCTTTGGGTTGAGAGTTAAAGGGGGAGTGGTCTGACTAGATATGAGACAAATGGACTTAAAGCTCAGACCACAACTTCCTCCTCTTAGATGTGAGGTGTGCAGTACTCAAGTCTTAACCAGAGCGCAAAGAAAAAACGCATGAATAAGTTGTTGTGCTTGCTGACAGCTGGAGTATCCCCGGTTATCTGTGCCAACCCTGTATCGTCATGACTGTGTTAAGCAGGAGCCCTATTTATGTGGCAATTCCCCTGTGGATGTGTTATGGAAGAGCTGGTAAGTTATCTATCTATCTATCTATCTATCTATCTATCTATCTATCTATCTATCTATCTATCTATCTATCTATCTATCTATCTATCTATCTATCTATCTATC